CTTCTTTCCTTGGTGTTCGTGTGTTCAAATCTAAAGTTAAATTTAGGGTTAGTTAGAATAAATATTTAATGAAATACTTTCCCAATTATTTTAGCGGTTGAACAAGCATACAACATGAATTCAGGATTTGTTTTCATTCACAACTCAGAGTTGCCGCCTCCAGTGCCAGTAAGATTCTTGTGACTTGTGTGAGTGGGATATCTCCAAGCCCTATCTGGTCCCATTTCACTTTAATTACCCTGTCAAACAAGTCAGCCTTCGCCCCTGCTTGAACTACCGTAGTTTTTAAGAGTAATCAATGTTTTGATAGAAGCACTGCCAAAATGTAGAAATAAGAAGTCGTCCCCTGTATTGTACTTGTACTGTAGGCTACACTGTACGTAAACTAAAACAGGTGAGATTCCACAATCTTTCTTCATTACAGTATATCGTCTATAAATGCAAAGGCTACTGTGGTAACGTCACTGGTTACATTGAGTTTGAGCGAAGCAGAGCTGGTACCGGTACATGATGTATTTTTAGTTTTTGTAAGTGTTAAACGGCACTTGCAACACAATAAGGTCATAAAAGTGCCGAAGATTAGAGGAGTTACAAAAGAGTAACAGTCACAAACAGAAAAAAGGAGGGGAGATAGGACGATGGATGTTTGATAGGAAAGAAGCAAACCACACCAGAGAGCACCCACCAACCACCCACACATGATGTATGTGTCAATCAACAGTTCAGCATGCTGATGAGTGAGGTGATAGTGTTAGCTTAGTTGATACTAGGCTGAACCACCAACAGGATGACTGGTTTGAATCCTCAAGGTGGCCTTCTTGAACTTTGGTCGTTTATAGGGTTTTCAAAATCTACTCCCACTTGGCTTGGTCCTATCAGAGTCAGGCGTTAAACAATTGGGTTTTGCCCCAAAACTAAAGTAAAAGTTTACTATAACTTGTTCACTTTCGGCTGTCTGTGGTTATAACAAGATAAAATGAAATCACTCTGTTTAATCTTCTCAGATCTTTGCATACGGGGGGTCTAAAAGTTGAATGACCAACAGAATAAAAGCCCATTCATAAAGGTCACAGCAAACTAAGGTTCCGACACATTTTCTTTGCTGTAAGCCTAAAGTGGGTCATAAAAATAATGATCGAGTGAAATTACAGCATACACAAAACATTTAAAAGTTGAAATATTTTCCTAGACACCTCACTTTAACATGATGGTATGCCAAAGAAACCCGATTCAAGAGACGGGGTGATTAATTTTTGAGACACAATACTCACATGGGGCACGTGTAGACATCTATAGTCAGAAGTCTATAGACAGCCAGGGGAAGAAATCTACAACTACAAGATTACACTGAAATGTGGGGGCCCAAAGAGAGAAACTTAGAAAAATTATTGATTCAAGATTTAAAAAAAAATATTTTTGTTTGGTCGCTCGCCAAGTGCCATGCAAAGTTTCGTGGGCATAGGTAAATTAATAAATGATCTAGAATTTTTTTTACACGGACAGACAAAAGTGAGTAAGCTATAATGGGATATTATACCCACATCATATTGACCAGATATATGTATTTTTTAAATCAAACTAACTTGCATTCCTTCTTTAGGACTCTATGAAGTTTGACAAATCTCAGACATTATATGGCAGATTTTTCAGCATTGACTCTAAGAAAATTAATGGCTTGAAAAAGAAAAAAAAAATGGCTTCTAAAGACACGGTATGGAACTTTAATCTTCAACTAATAATAAAGTAATGTCTGAAACGACAAAATAACTAACTGGATTGTAGCTCGTCGTTCATTTCCATAATAAGCGCATGAATCATCAGCATGCTACTGCGGTTTTCGGCAGGAAGAGAAGTTTAGTTAGTGATCTGCACACAACAATTGTGCGTATTATTCAAAATTAGAAAAATTTTGTGCCTTGACTTTTATTATGTCCTAAAATTGTTTGGGAATCAGGGTCACTGTTCTAATGGGGCTTATCTTAATAAACATTATATTATTAGTAGGCTACTAGTAATCGTCGTTGCCTTAAGACGTGCACATGTCAAGAAAATGCTAAATTATTGATTATTGGCGGCCATTCCTGGTTGCCAATCTCCTATGTGATAAGTAAACTGTAAAAGGGATATTACCCGATCAGTTGAAACTGACAGTTTTAGTCCCTGGCAAGACAGAAAAAAGGCCAATTGTTAAGACTGGTTTTGTTTTGGTGTTCTACGGAACTCGCAACTGCATACGGTCATACGAGCGCGCGGGGCACTTAACCTTTTCAGTTGGTAGGAAATTTTAAATTATGCGCGGGTGGCAGCCAAAGCCTACTCATCGATTTTAGACCACCAAGGGATCTTTAACGTGCGCAACTTGCATGCGGGCCCTCTGAGATTTTTCATTCTTGTCTGAGAAGGCTAGGTGCAGATCTTTCCTACCAGAAGATCAGGAGTGTGGCAGAAAGACAGCAGTAAGAAGTAGCCAAGGAGTAGCAGTAGAAAGGCTGCAAAAAGAGTCAGGAGCCCAGAGGAGAGGGCAAAGGAAGAGAGGGTGTGGGGGAAGAAAGAGAGGAGACGAATGCAGACGACAGAATATTGCTAGAGAGCAGGAAAGGAGGTGAAAGGAGACAATTTTAGAGAAGAACATTTTTTTGGTCGCAACCTGGATTCGAACCCAGGACCTTTGAATGAGAGGCCAACACCTTAACCTCTAGACCACGAGAGCCCCAAGACTGGTTTGTCACATGGCCCTTATTACACACAACGAATAGACTGAAGGCAGTTTGGATCACATGAACACACACACTTGCAAAACTGTCTTATAAAAGGGAAATCCCACCAAAACGATACTGACTTACTGATTCATTACAATATAATGAATCCGTGATATATAGCCTAAATCAAATAAAATCTTAAAACCTACAACTTCCAAGTACAGCACAGGCTTAGCACTTCATAAAAAATTATATAATATAATGACAATTATATTTAATACTATGTCAAGTGCGCGGAATTTAATGGAATGATAATTTTGCAACCACTGACATTATATATTTATATAATGCAATTACATTACCATAATTATAGTAAAAATATTTTCTTATCCGGAAAAAAGTCATTCATTGGGCAAGTTGACTAGCCGGAACAAAAATCTGGCACTTTTCTTGGCGTGAGGCTGGACAGTGGACTGCAAGACGAACCGACGATTTCATACTGTCAGTTATGACTGACCATGTAATAATAGGCCCTTGAGTGGTTATATTTGGTCCTGTTGTTAATCATATATTTGGCTCAAATTCTTTTGAACAGAGATTAGCCATAAACAGAGTGGATTTGTATTCTGAAATAAAAAAAGAACATAAGTGGTACCAAATTTGCTACTCAGTCAAACATTAATATACTGTGTACCCTGGGATGAGCATTAAGTTGGTGGTATACTTATCTTATCATAAAAGTACGGGATAGCACCGATTGCCATCTTCACTAGAAGTAGACTGGTAGACACAAGAGCTACGAGACAAACTGTGGCCAGTCTTGCGCAGTTGCCATGTGCCGGAAAAAACCAACAGAAAGTATCCTACCAGTTACATACAGTTCAAGCTGAATTTTACGTTTTATTCAAATTGAAAGAAGCTAAAATCAGAAGCTACGATGTCAAGGACCCTTTAGATGTACATTAAAAAAAATTCCATTCCTCAGTATAAAAGCCTCATGGGCAGTTGCCAGCCTTTTACTTTTGGTAATTGGGCAGATATCTGGCGATTCCTTTCAAGAATTTCTCCATGCCACTTTAAAATTTAATTCCAATTTTTAAAAAAGATATTGGCTGGAGCCTAAAAAAAACATTTTCTTAATCTGTGTAAATCAACGACAAGAGCTAGAAGAAATGTGCGTATGAAAAAGATTTTAAGCAGCCACTGACTATGAAAACAAGCTTCGACAATACACCAACAAAAGATTGCACAACAGGCGCATTATATTCACTATCCTTGCATTCATACAGTGTGGCTATTGTTTACGCAAACAGTACACTGGTGATGCCTTTCTCTCACCCCCAATCGACGCAAGTCTAGTCTCTTTCTTCCATTTTTCTATCTTGAAGCACTTTTTGCACTACACACTCCACTTACCAAATTAGAGAAAATGTTATCTGACTCTATTTAATTCTTGTGCACAGTTGTGTCCATAAGGATAAATAAACAAAGCCTCCTGTATTTAGTTTTTTAAGTTCTAGAGATACTTCGCAGAATTCACAGATGTTGAGGAAATTACACATCACTTCAGTGCTGGTACCCAGACTTCACCAGACCCTCCTATTTTAATTTACACCAGTCAAGAGGATACCGGTAAAAGAAGCCCCTCCATACTGTGTATAACATCATGGTATGTGTAACAAAATTTTTTACCACAGGGGCAAGTCGTACTGAAGAATCTGCCATATCTTTTTGATGTTTTTTTTTTGCTCGGTGTTTTACGTGCTCACAACTGCATAATGTCATACGTGGAACACATTTAACATTTTCAGTTGGTAGGAAATTTTGAATTTTGGCGGGGCCTACCTACTTTCAATTTTGGACCACCAAGGGATCTTCAACATGTGCAACTTGCACACAGGACCTCCGAGATTTTTCGCCCTTACCCGAGAGGGCTTTCCTACCACAAGATCAGGGGTGTGGCTGAAAGAGAGCAGTAAGGAGCCAAGGAGTAGCAGTAGAAAGGCTGTAGAAAGAGTCAAGAGCACTGAGGAGGGAGCAAAGGAGGTGAGAGGGAAAAAGACAACAGAACATTGTTAAAGAGCAGGAAAGGGTGTGATAGAAGAAAATCTTAGGAAAGAAAATTTTCCGTCACTTTCTGGATTAGAACCCGGGACCTATTGAATGAGAGGCAAACGCTTAACCTCTAGACCACAAGAGCCCCCTCTAGATCAATGAGATCAACGCTCGACTCAACTTAAACTTAAAGTTAAAGGATTTGAAAAATAGTTGAAACGAAAGAAAGTAACAAACCAGACTTTCTAGGGGCAACAAGTGCTTACATTTTCAGCTTTCCAGTGGAGCAACAAACGTGTAAATTTAAAGTTTAAAAATTCTTGAGGCTGTAAATGGGCCTTGGACAACTTTGAAAATGTCCCCCAAAAAAGGGTAAAATATCACAGCTTCACTGTTCCTTCACTTTTTCTCACTTATGAGGTCTGACAATGAAAGCACTAGGATTGTCAGTTCATGAATTAGACAGCATAGCATAAAATACTGTCACACCAGACCTCTGAATGCCTTGAAAATCTTCACTGATTTGCGGATGAAAAATCTAAACGATCATACTTCTGTAGCATTCAGAATTCACAGCCAGACCCTGAACTCATTTTCAGTGACTTTGTGTAGAGGTAAGAAATCACCCATGACTTTCAGATGAATTTCATAATGCCTCGAATCTCAAACCAATCACTCTTTTCACACTAGTAGCATCAATCTAACCTGAATAAAAACCACTCCACTCCACACTGTTCCATCCTACAACAGATTTCCTGATGCACTACAAATAGAAAACATTATAACTTTTTCGAGATGAAAGTCATTACCTTGTGTCAAAAAGAGCATCGCTGCTCATATATTAACCACACAGATTTGTAGGATTCACTTGAATAAACTTATCAATGCACCTTGATAACCACTCACAGCAAGGACCATTCTAACAAGGCTAATCAAGCACCACAATGGTTCATTCCATGGCTTATCACAGGATGGAATAAAACAATAAATTCACAATACTCGCTTGTGCAATTACTTTGTATAGAATTGCACAGCATCATGAATTTCCCACACACTGAATATAAAGCACTGACTAATTTGATGAACCGTACTACTACGCACATCTCAAAGAAACAGACCATACCGATTTCCATGTCAACAATGAAGTATTTAGTTTATTGACTACAAGTCTAAAGAAAATAACCACCACATTCTAATAAATCGAACAGATTATAGTTAACTTACAAGAATCAATTTTTTCTTCAAAATCAAAACGGGAATACACACAAACACAACTTACAGAAATGCGCGGCAAATCATAATAGAAGACTCACTTAGTTACAAAACACATCCCTTAATGAAACTTCCAGTTTCATACACAGCAAAAGGAATCACAAAGAATGCAGCATGAATTTCCCTTTCACGGGAATATGAAGACTAGTGGTTATTTTTTTCACATGCACAATTTTCAGACACTTTACAACACTGGAGAAAAAAACTGCACTGAAAGATAAATAGGCACATTCTTTTCCATATCAACTTTTGCAAGAATACTATATGAGAGAAAAGCCATTTGATATGACCTTTTGAAAATATCATGAATACACAATGACTACACACCAAGAGAACATTTTTTCCGAGTATCTTTTTGATCAAGCAGTTGATCTAAGTTGATGGATACGATAACAGTTAAACTGAGTTCAACAGACTTAATATTCCTCAAATTATCTAGATCTATATTAATTTTTTGTCTATCAGCATGCACGTCGTAGCATCAAGAGATAACGAACCACCCTTTTTCCTTTCCTAGCAGCACACACAATATAAACAGCATTATAAAACAATTTCACGAATCTACAGTTTTTCACTAGAAGGTAAACAACACTGTAGACCTTCTTATTTCAGCAAGTCACGCTAATTTAAACTAACACTTGAACAGTCCATGATTCTCTCATCCATCACTATCACATAGTAACCTTTCACAAATCACTCCAGCAGCGCACCAATGAAAAACGTATGCACAACAGATATTACGTCTTGAATATTCAGCGAATGCACTGTGAAATCGGGCCATAAAATAAACCACAGTCCACACTTACAAATGCTGGACTGCTTCACTACAGAGCAAACAGCACTTCTGCATCTGTGAAAGAAATCAATACAACAGAGCTAGAGCAAGTAAAGGGAAAAATACATGTATCATGTAATACAATTTCTTTACCCCCACCATATAAGAGGAAAAATAAGTAAAAAGAACATCTAAAAATAATGCTAACAGCATTTATGAAAAAAAAGATGGGAAGACTCGAGTGAAACTTCTCTACAAAAAGTAAGCAATTGTAATGAGAAAGAATAAATGACAAGATTTGCATACAAACACTAAATATTGCTTGAAAGCCGCTCCCCGTCCCCCCCAATCTCTCTCAATGAGTCAATTGAGTCTGAAAATGTACAAATTGCAAGTACTTCAATATAAAGGTTCATTTTGCTGCAATCGTCCTTTGAATTCAGACAGAACCCTTTGCTATTTTCAACCTAAGAATCTATGATTCATTCTTTCGTAGAGCACAAATTGTGCCCGATGATGAAAAACAACAATTTGTCTATGAGCACGTAAACACATGTGATGTGCACGGTTTGTGGGGAGGATTATAATACCGTATCTCGCCAAGCACAAGTAAGATACTGAATAAACTAGAACGGCGAGCGAGTGTAAGGGGTAGCAAGGACTGTATGTGTATGTATAGTATAAGGTTTTACGGCGCTCGCAACTGCTAAGGTCATATGAGCGCGCGAAACACAAGTTGTTCACCTTTGCAAAAAGCTCACTTCACGACTGGTTATCTAATTGACTTAAAATGCTAAAAAGTTAAAATGTTTAAATTCAGTGTAAATACATATGTGGTTTAAAACAACTCTTCTAAGTAACAATAAAAATTTT